CAACTCGCCTCGTCGAGGTTGGTCCACGTCCATGGAATAAATAACGAATAATATAAGACAATTACAGAATTCATCCTATGACCCATGCAGGAGTCGTACATGAGTTTTCTATGAAAGCATTGAACTATGCAGTGTCCCACCACACGAATAATTTATTACAAGCATTCACCAACACAAAACTCCTCGACATGTCCGAGGCTTATAAAACAGCATACATGAGTTATAACCATACATACGGGCCATAATAGTCAGATTCGAAATCACCTCCAAACAACCTTTTGCAATTTTTAATCTACTATGCGCTGTGTCCGTACAAAATTAATTCACATAAACAGGTAAGTCCTAATTCAAACAGTGTACAAAATTGAATTAAACCTGGCTCTAATACCAGTTGTTGGGTTCTGTTAGGAACGTCAACGACATGCACGTTTGAATTTGGCAAAATAAACCCTAACGTAGCGGAATCTATAGTTAACGTTCGGACATTACCATTTTAATTTTTTTTGCCTACTAAAAACGCTTCTGATTTCCGTTGATGGAGATCGTTTGAATACAAGAATTTGATGGGTTGCCGAACTTGTCCTTTCTCGATTCTGATTGAGTTGTTGGATCACAAGCGGATCACCGGTTCAAGGCTCGTCGGGCTCGGGCCGGACAAAAGTGGTTCAGCTCGGTCGAGTGGCGGTTGGGCTCGGTCGGACCTCGGCTGGGATCAGCTAGTCTCAGTTGGGCTCACTGCGGCTCAGTCACGGTACGTCTCGGCTAGTCGGGGCTGGTCCTAGACAGGCGCATTGGGCGCTGGTCCGTTCACGCGGACAGACGGACGGGCGCAAGCGGTGCGCTGGATCCTCGGGCTCGTGCGGGTGCAGCAATCCTAGGTCGACGCAGACTCGGCGCTGGGGGTGGCCTGGGGCACGTGCGGATGACGCGCGCTGGGCGTTGCCTATCCCTGCGAGGACTGGGCGCGGCAGACTCGGGCGACGTGCGTGCACGGCAAGGCAGGCGAGGTGCGCGATATTGTTATGCGACAGGGTGCTTGCGGGCAGTGTTCTAAAAGTCACTAGGCGCCCGCTAGGCGCTTGACCAGTGCCTAGCACCTAGAGCGCCTAGTCGGGGCCCAGAAATCAATATTAAATATGTTATTTTATTTATTTATTTTAACTACCTACAAAATAAAACTATCTCAACTTATAATAAATTCACACACAAAAGTCCAAATAATAATATTAATATATATTAAAGAAAATATGAAAACAAAATAATGTAATTAGTATTTAAAAAAATAAAAAGAATAAAAAAAAACTAAAAAATTGCCGCCGAGTCCACCTAGGAGCGCCTAGGTCCGTCTATGCCCGCCTAGACGCCTGGCCGCCTAGGCCCGCCTAGGCACCTGGCCGATTTTTTCTGCCGATTTGTGCAAAACGGATGCGCCCGGGCACCGCCTAGCGCCTAGGCCGATTTTAGAACAGTGCTCGCTGGACAGGGACGACGTGCGGCGGTTGCTGGGTGCTGGCGCCGACGTCTGGCTGGCGTGCGGCTGCGGGCCTTGGCTCGCGACTGCGTGCTGGCTGGGCGCAGGCAGCTTCCAGCGACTTCGGACTTTGGCGGCGATTTTCGGCGGCTTTCCGGCGGTGGTGGACGGCGGTGGCTGACCGAAATTTAGGATATCTAAAGGGCTCGGTTTATCTAGCGTTAAGATCTTTTATTGTATGATCTAAACACCTACACCGAATAATCTTGGTGGGCAATTTTTCGAATCTCTCGAACTATCAATATATGGAACACTCGAAAACTCCTTTTACAACATATCTAACAGGTCTAAGATTATGATATGTATTAGACGAACCGCAGAAGGATAAGATTATAAGATTTACTGATCGTTGTTATAATCTAGACCTTCAGTAATTGATGCGTACTCTTAAGCTCTAAGATAATATAAAATGGGCATATATATTCATTACTTATTCATTTGATTTTACCAAGGGTGATTCTTATTCTGTTAAGATGACATACTCGGTATTTTGGTAATTAAGAGTGTTTGTATGATGTGCCGTTATAAATTATTTACTGTCATTGTCCCAGTGCGCTGGGTTGATGACGTCCCCGAAATGAGCTCAGGAGGGAATATTATGTCAAACCCTGCAGGTGGATAATTATCCGACATAATGATTAATGAACTGAGTGGTACTAGTTTCGGAAATGAAAGAAGTGAATTTAATTTTATTGTCAGTAATTAAACTAATCGACGGATGTTTAATATTAAACATAGGGAGATAAATCGATCAATTAGATTAATATTTATGAATCATTTTATGGTTCGAATTTATTGAATAAATTGGAGCTAAATGGGGAGAGCAATAATATTACTCTAGTGAGATGTTTTATTATTTAATTCTATTTAGGAATTAGGAATTAATTATATTCCATAATCTAGATTCCATTATGAGAGGAATATTTATTCTAGATTATTACCCTAGGGTTAAGAGACATTTGGAGTCTTCTAGAAGGGTGATTAGTGTTAGGAGGAATAGGACTCCTAGATGGAAAGGATATGGAGCATAATTAGGATTCATAAACCTAATGGGATAAGCCCATATTTAGCACATCCTTAAGGTCCATAATGTAGCCTATAAATACTCCATGTCCCAACCTCTTTCCCTACCGTGTGAGAGCTCGATTTTAAGGTTCCTACAAGGAAGAGGAAAATCGTGTTCTTCATATATTCGAGAGTTCGGGAGATTCGATTAATCGCATCACCAAGATTAGTAAGATTAGTCGAAGTAGGTGTTTAAGTCATACATTAGAAGATCTTAAGGTACAATTCATTCAAACCTTTAGATCTTAATTATTCCGGCTAGTTCACCGCCGAAGCATTGCTGGATCCGAAGGTTGGTGCTCCATGTAGATTTCTATAAATTCTACAATACAAATAAATAGATTTTTCATATGACATAGTTATTGGAAAAATAAAATGCCTGCACATCCTAAATTTATATCCAACTATGAGATACAACAACCGCACTGAGGATATGAGATTAGAAAAGACACACACTGACACCCAATTACTACTTTATAAACAATCAACAAAATAAGAATTACAACCAAATGATTATAGCAATTACTATTAAAACCCTCAATAGCTCAACTGAAATGAGAAGATAGATACAGACAATTAGACAAATGAAATATAGATCTAATAAGGAGTTTAAAAATATAACTTACTACTAAAGAATAATTTTTTTTTCTTCTTCTAAATTCATTATTCTGGTGCTCAGAGGAGGGGCATGGTCGTGGCTAATTTATTTGATTGGAGTTTGGTGTATACTGGTGTTTTGTGGGTTAGTGTCTAGTGGAAATGATGAATCAACAATATATAATATTTTATTAGAATGGCGTTAGTAGTGTTTGGACTTAATAGATAAGTAAATTATTTTGTTAGGTTAGTAAGTAGATTTATTGGGCTAGGCTAGAAATACAATATTTTTTTTCAAACTAATAAGTAGAATTAATACCCCTTATCTCTTTATTTAGACAGTTTATATAGTTACCCCAACTAATTATTTAGACAAAAATACTCCTTTTGCTTTTAAGTAGACCTTTTTTGTGGACGAATTTAGTTTTTAAAAATCTGGCCCTTTTACTTTTTAATAACCTTTTAATAACCGTAAAACGGTTCATCCTCCTCCTTATCTCTCTCCTTCTTTCCCGTAACCTACCTACCCCTTTTTAATTCCTTCTCCTCCAAAAATAATGACAAATTTGATTCTCCTTATATCATCCTTATATCCCCCCTTTTGTTAGATGCGCCGGCTACAGAGGATGGAGCCTAAAATAATGACAAATTTGATTCTCGTTGACGGGAGGCTGGAGGATGTGGCGACCCAGTGCAGAGTTCCGATTTTCGATTTTTAGGCGAAAGGTAAGGATTCGAGTTGATTAATATTGCTCCAAGTTTTGATTTAAATTTCGTAGAGCCGAACCCTTGCTTATCTCAGATTCTTACCTTGGGTCGAACCTTAATTTTCGAGCCAATTGAACCCTTATTTCTTGAGAAATTGAAGATTTCCTTGTTGATTTGTTTTTGAAGTATGTTTTTTCACATTTGTTCTTTTTATCGAAGTTCTTAGTCAAAGGCGAATTGTTTGTTTTATAGGAATATGTAGGTAATTTTATTTCTGGAGATTAAACTTGTTTGAAAAATATAAGAAATTTTGAAATATTTTCCAGAATCCTGCATTATTGAGTTATAAGAATCATATTTTTTTTTTCTGTTTTTTATGATGACTGGGTGTGCTGTGGCCAAATTAAAGTTGTTTTCATGTTATTTTCATGTTGCTTAAAGTTTTTTTCATGTTGCTTTTTTAATGTTGTTATATTATTTTTTTCTTGTTGCTTATTTTTTTATTGGTTCATACCTTATGTTAACTTTTCTATTTATTGATTATGTAAATTTTTTTTATGATTTTGTGAAATCTTTTTGGAATGCATTTCATTATATAGAAATAGAAAAAAAAATAATATTTTGATTTGTTTTTTTTTTTTTATGTTTTTAGAAGAAGAAGAAGGAGAAGAAGAACATGGCGAAGAAAAAGAAAAAGAAGAAGAAGATAATCGTGAAAAGTGGAGAGAGAGGATAAGCGACAGAAACAATTATTTTTTTTGAAATATTTATGTTTTTTATTGTTTTGTTTTATTTATTAGTGGTTATCTAAATGTAATTGCAATTAAAACATTAATGGAATCCTCGACATTCAGTACATTATTATGGAATTGTTTTTCTACACGTGGTCAGTTATGTCAATTTTCCCTAATAAGTATTTAAAAAAATAATAGGATGGGTTTCAGCCCAACCCAAGCGTCAGTCTCTATGTTGCCAAAAGAAAAGGTCATGTCCGATAATACTAAGGAAAAAAATTTATACGGCATAGTGCACCAAGTAATTTTTCATTTTCTTATAAAAAATGGGGAAGCAAATTCCATTTGAGGCCCAATAAGGATGTCTGTAGAGAAGGCCCAGCTCACAATATCCCCGTGCCTACTTGTGCCCAAAGTCACCTCTGTCTCTCTCGCGAACCTTCCCGACTACTCCATTTCTCGATCCTCATTCCATCAACTGCTCGTACCTTCTACACACTCCCCCTCCACCTCACTATAAATACCATTTTAACCTACGCTCTCAGCAAGCAATTGTCCTTGCATTTAGCAAAAACCCTCGCACCCTTTTCTCGTTTTCCCCTACAAGCTAAAGCTATCTATGGCGTCTTCTCTCGCTCTGAAGAGGCTGGTCGCCTCTAACCTCCTCTCAAGGTCAGCGGCGGCTCGTCCGGCAGCCTTCCGCCTCTTCAACACAAATGCTATCCGCGAGTACGACGGCGATGACCGCGATCTCGATGTTGAACGCCGCCCAGAGCGTCGTATTTTCTCCCCCTTCTCAGGTAGTTTCTGGATTTGCTTCTGTTCCTTCCTTGTTTTTCGATATTAGGGATTTCCGTGTTAACTATTCCTTGAATTTGGGTATTTAGACATATTGGGTCCATTTGCCACACGAAGCAGCCTGAACCAAATCCTGAACATGATGGACCAAATCGTGGAATCGCCTAGCGCCCGCAGGAATTGGGATGCTCGGGAGACTGCCGATGGGCTTCATCTGCGCATGGACATGCCTGGGCTGGGGAAGGAGGACATCAAGGTGTCGGTGGAGCAGAACACTCTCACCATCAGAGGAGAAGGGAAGAAGGAATTTGAAGATGAAGAAGATGGCGGAAGGAGGTACAGTAGCAGAATAGATCTACCGGAGAGGCTGTACAAGACGAGTGATATCAAGGCTGAGATGAAGAACGGTGTCCTCAAGGTGTTTGTGCCAAAGATTAAGCAGGAGGAGAGGACCGATGTTTTTCATGTCAATGTTGAGTGAGTTTAGTTAGAGCAAGTTGAAGATGGGGATTGCGTGTACTGTGTTTTAAGCGTCATTTTGTAGTACGTTACTGTTTCTGTGATTGGAACTAATTTTCTTTGCTCTATGGATGTGAAATCGATTTTATTATGTGTGCTGAATTTCTTGTGTACTCTAAATCTTGGGGTTGAAATTAAGGACGTGGGTCGGAATGTTTAACCTGGTAACTCTAGAAAATGCAAATTGACACGGAATATTGCAAGCAATTGGTGGAACCTACTCTATTTCTTGAATACGTCTTCCTGTTTAGGAGTGCACAATGTTAACCCAAAAGTGCACAAAATTCGGTTACCTCAGACCTAAACCAGTTCGGTTTTCGGTGGATATGTTCTAAATTTTGATTTCGGGTTTGAATAATTGTCATTGGTGTTCTAATTTTGATTTCGGGTTTAAATAATTGTGATTGGTGTGAACCGAATTGGAATACTTTTAGAAAACCATTTGACGCTATAGTTCAGTCATCTTTTAGGTCTGAAATACTTTTAGAAAACCATTTGGCGGGCTTCAGATAATTTGTAGAAGAAAATTTAGAGTTTAATGAGTAATATTTTGCAAGATTTACTTCGCTATAGTTCAAGCCATCTGGGTCTTAGATTTTAAGAAGGGAATTTGAAATTTATTAAGAAGATAAAGCAAGGTCATAAAATTATTTTTTTAGATTCAAATAGAAAATGAAAATTTTAATTTGATTAATAATTTAGAATTTATTAAGAAGATTAACTATTTATTGAGATTAACCTATAGTTGATTCGATCACTGGATTTTTTTGTAGATACTTGAGTTTTGACATTAAATCGATAAACTCCAAATGAGGCGAAGAACCTTTATCGGACAAGTCTGCAGGCATGAATAGTTAAGGGAAGTGTGTTTTATATTAGTGTATTTAGTTTCCTAATACTCAAGGACGGATCTAGAAAAATAAATTGGGGGGAGGGGGGACAATTTTTTTTTTTTTTTTTTATAATGACCTACTTAACAACAAAGACATAAAGTTGAAATTTTGAAACTAAAAAAATAAGGTTGTAATAAAAAAAATACATACCTTTCAAACTTCGTTTCTACTAGAATTGAGCTCGATGTTCTTTCAAGTCACGAAACTCATCAATAATTGACTCGGTTCTAATAGATCTTGAAATTTCTCTTTCGATGAAGATAGTCAAAGAATTTAAAAGAAAGTCATCTTCCATTTTACTTCGAAGTCTGGATTAAAAAATAGACATAGCCGAAAATGCACGCTCCGTTGTTTTTGACCTTGTGTCATTTGGAGGTTTAGAATATGAGATATGAATTTTTGAACTTGATGTTGCTGCAGTTGTTTGTAAAATTCGTGATAAATCGAGTTGTTATTCAAAAATTCTGAAATTTTGTTATGTTGTTCCTCTGATATGTGTTGTAATTGTATATAAATTTCGTAATTTTTGGAATCCATTTGTTAGGGTAAATGTCTATTTTAATTTTTGGCCTGAAACTTGTTTAAATCATGACAAAATACGGCCCTTGCTGAAAATAGTTGAAATCTTGTTTACATTCTCATTTGATGTTTTATTATATGATATAAAAATCCCAGATTTTAATGAATTCATTATGATAGGTTTTTAATGAAAATAGAATTTCTGCTGAATCTTCCAAAAATTGCAAAAAATTGAATGTTCGTTGTTTTTAACTGAATATGTTGTACCTTGCATGCTGATGTTGTTCGTGTCAAATTTCATAACTTAAATCGTTTGTTAGGCCAGGTTTTACATGCTTGTTTTTGGTGAAATATTATTTTAATTTTATAAAATCACATGTGTAAATGCCTATGGCTGAAACTTGATGGATTTAATGTATTCAGTGAGGTCTATTATGTGTCTATTTTCAAATCAAAATTCATCCATTTGCCTGTCCAACTAGATAATGTGATTTACTTGTCATTTTTATTATGTGTAAGTTGCTACTCGTTATTTCGTATAAATGTTCGTCTCGATGGCTGCTGTATGCGTGAGAACCCTAGTCTAGGTGTCGCATTGATAGTGCCTTTGATGAATGCATAAGCAGTGAGAGGTCGCCTGCCCGTTGCTAGTCGAGAGGTGCACGCCCTGATCCGTGTGTTATTCGGAGGGGGGGAAAACAGCTCAACTGTCTCCTGGAAAGGATCCCTTAGCCCGTGTTGAGCCGGGGTGGGAAGGTTTCCGGTTACTCCCTTGTTGTATGTACATAGGAGGTTTGCGATAGGGCCGTGTAGGAGTTAGACTTGGATTCTATGCATACATTATTTATGGTGTTGAATCTTTATGCAGGATATACTGTGCGGTAATGTTGAGCATAATGGTTTTGCTCACCCCCATTTTTTTTCTCCTTGTCTCCTCTTCTTTTCTTTAAGCTAGGCATGGCTGGCGACGGCAGCATGAAGACGATCGAGTGGTGGTCATTTGTCATTGTATTCTCGTTGTTTTAGGCTTCCGCCTACTTTATGATTATGTTAAATTGTTGCTTTTGTCTTTGATTTTTCCTTCTTCGGTTTGGATACATTGATTATGTCAGGTTGAACATTTGGAATAATGTTTTAACTTTCTGGTTGGATTTGAAACCTAATGAATAAATTGGTTTAATTTTAATGACGGTTAGTTTATGCATGAATAGGTTCAATCTATTTATTCGTATTTGTTTAATTGTTTTTGGTAGTTAAGTAGCGCCCGTTGAGAAATAAGTTTTAACTTGAGATTTTGCGAAAATTTTACTCTGATTTTCATAAACAAATTTGGTAAATTCTTTAAAATAAAACGGGGCATTACAGTGTGGTATCAGAGCCGATCTGCGTTTCTGTAGACTGTCTCTGGTGTTAGTGTTTTTAATGACCATTTGACCACTCGCTTTCGTCTCGCCGCGCCAGCTCAAGGTATGTATTCATAAGTGATAAAGAAATTGCTTATGATATGATTATGATGATTATTGCCGATAATGTGATTATTGTTTGTTATATTATTGGGGCTTAGGAATTTACCCTCCGTGTATCGGACTTGAACTCTAGTGATATAGAGTTAAGTTTTGACTTTAGAAGTTCTTTGTTGTGAGTTTTCGGTATGGTGTTATCAAGTTAAGTTCTGTTTATAGCAGTTCTCTCGTTTTAAGTTTATGTTTAGTCTCTTCGAGTGAGGATCATTCGCAAGTCATCTCTAAAGAGAAGACTTAAGTAAAGGGAGCAGACAACCGAAGAAGTCCCAGGTGTGTGGATTATTCAGAAGTCTATGACCATTGTGGATAGAACCATTAGACGCATGTTAGAACCCAGTTAATGAGAACCGGGAGTGGATTCTAGGTGTCTGGTTCATGTTGATGATCCGACCACTTGTGCTTGTAGATTCGTGGAGATCGGTTTAATGGCTTATTTCCCTAGTTATAATTTGTTCATTATTATTCGTTCATTTCTCGCTGGTTTGTTCTCGTGAATTCTTTGTGGACATTCGAACTCTGTTGTTGTGTTATCGATGCCCTCTTTTTTTGTTGTGTATGGCTGAGATGTTATCGAATAAATTCGAGCCTTGACTTGTCATCCGAGCCCTTGTCTCTTGATTGTTGTATGTTTTAAGAGTTCGGTTGTGAAAAACATCTTTTTGGAAACCTTTCATTGATGGCTTTTTGGTTGCTGTTTTGACACCTTAAACTCGGTCGAAAGGCATGAAACTCTTCTGATGAATTAAAGTTTAGTCCATTATGTTTCATGTCCAACAAGAATCCAGTGAATTTCAATTTTGTGCTGAAAGATGTGGCCAAAGTTTGGCGATTGCGCGTCCAATTTTCTGGTTTTTCGATCATGTAGGTGATCTGGTTTCATTGTTGTTTTTGAGCCCTGAAACCCTGTCGTCTCTTTTTTAAGTCTTCATGTAAATGTAGATCAGCCTGTTGCCTTTCATGAGGAAAAGGAATCGAGTGTTTATCTTTTTTATATTGAGAATTCTGTCGAAAGTTCGATCATTGCGCAGTCAAACTTTCATTTTAATCGCAGCAGTTTGAGTGTAACAGCCCAGTCCACCCGCTGTAGAATATTGTCCGCTTTGGGCCCACTCACCCGCAGGGTTTTTCCTTTGGGAGCTAGCTCACCAACACGCGTTCTACAAGTTAAGGTATCCACACCCTCTTATAAGGCATGTTTCGTTCTTCTTAACAATCGATGTGGGATATTACAATCCACCCCCCTTGGGGACCCAGCGTCCTCGTTGACACACCAGTCCGGGTACTGGCTCTGATACCATCTGTAACAACCCAGTCCACCCGCTGTAGAATATTTTCCGCTTTGGGCTCGCTCACCCGCACGGTTTGCCTTTGGGAGCTAGCTCATCAAAACGCGTCCTACAAGTTAAGGTATCCACACCCTCTTATAAGGCATGTTTCGTTCTCCTTAACAACCGATGTAGGATATTACAATCCACCCCCCTTGGGGCCCCAGCGTCCTCGCTGGCACACCAGTCCAGGTACTGGCTCTGATACCATCTGTAACAGCCCAGTCCACCCGCTGTAGAAAATTGTCCGCTTTAGGCCCGCTCACCCGCACGGTTTTGCCTTTGGGAGCTAGCTCACCAAAACGCGTCCTTCAAGTTAAGGTATATACACCCTCTTATAAGGCATGTTTCGTTCTCCTTAACAACCGATGTGGGATATTACAATAATTTCTGTTATTTTTGCTAGTTTTGGCTTGCTTCTGGTAACCCGGGAATTTCGATGTCTTCATATGATTTGTAGTTTTACTTCTTAGGTTTCAAATGGCGCAAGATACATTCTAATATCATTTTTTCACAAAACGATACATTCAAAATACGAACGTCGTGCAATCAATTTTTTTGATAATTTCAGCAGGTTTAATGTGTAAATTTGATCTGTTTCCAGCCCTTTAACCTACCCATTCGCGCCCTGGCCGCCCGAGTGTCTTTCCCTTGCTCTTGATTATTTCCTTTCACTTGGTAGTCAAGTTTCAGTGGTATTTCGAGACCCCTCTTTATTATTCGATTTTCGTACTTTGGGAATTTCGCTTAATTTCCTATCCTCGCGTAGAATTTCAGATGGAGTTAAGCATCAAAATTTTATCTTCTGCTGATCCTTAATTGTTTTCGAATCTTGTGTCGTGATACTACTAAGTCGATGCTAAGGTTCAAGAAAGCAAGTAACGTTGCAGCTCTTGAGAATACTTCAGTCTCGAGATAGACGGCGATCAGATGTTTTTTATGATCTAATTTAACGTTGTCACGGAGTGGCGTATGTGAAAATCATCGCATACCTAATCGGAAGGAGCCTCGACACCTTTCTAGGGATGTTTTTGTATAGGAGAAGCTTCTTAAGGAGGGTAGTCGAGCCGGATGCGAGCACATTATGA